ATGTGCCCATAGTCCCAGCTACTCGAGAGGCTGTGGAACGAAATTTGCTTGAGCCTGGGAGGCAGAGGTTACAGTAAGCTGAGATCATGCCACTGCACTCCAGTCTGGGCGACAGAGCACAACTCTGTCTGAAAAGAAAAAAAGAGGTAGAACTTTGGAGAGGTGACTTGATCATGGGTCAGAGCTCTCATTAATGGGATTAGTGCCTATCTTTTAAAGAGTCTGAGAGAAACCCCTTCCCCCTTCCCTCATGTGAAGTTACAGTGAGAAGACAGCTGCCCATAAGAAAGTGAACCCTTAGTAGACACTAAATTTGCTGGCATCTTGATCTTGTACTTCCTAGCCTCCAGAACTGTGAGAAAGAAATTTCTGTTGATAAGCCATCCAGTTTATGGTATATTTGTTATAGCCTCCCAAGTGGACTAAGACAATCAGGAATGGCAAAAGGCATATTTCGAGTTAAGTGAATATTTTGATAAGATTTGTGTTTTAGTTTGACCTCTGTGACTGCAGTGAGGACAAGGACTATATTAGAGACAGAGGACACAAGGTCAGATAGAAGGTGAGTGTGAAGTAAGGCAGTAGCAATGGAATAAAGTTCAAGGTTCTACCTCATCCACAATCAATGCTTTTCCTCCTTCTCCAGATGGATCTGTGTCTCTGCACATCTGTTTTGATAGTACTCTTCGCATACATCTGTTATAACACCACTCTAAACTATATAAATGCTGATATACTCCTCTTTTCCTCTCATACCATAAGCTCTGTGAGGACAGGGATTTCATCTTATTTAACTTTGCATTAGTGTCATCTAGTATATATAAGGGTTTTAGAGCTCAGTAACTGAATGAGCAAATTCAAGGTTATATGGATGAACAGGCAAAAAACTATTAAAAAGGGTAAAACTTGGAAGTTCTACAGTAGGCACAAAGAAGATTAGGAGAGGTCAAGATCACTTTAGATTCAGAGATCATGGAACGTTTGCTTCATTGAGGTGCTAGAGCTTGATTTCGAAAGATGGGTAAGGCTTAATCAGGTGGAAGGATATACCATTTAGGGGGAAATGATGTAAACCAAGGTATAGAGAATGGTTGGGGATATGGCCATGGGTATACAAAGGAAACTAGTGAGAGAAGAAGCTGTGTTATGTCCTGCCAGGTTGTAGAGGGTGGGCTAAATAGTCTAGACCTTAGCCACTAAGTAGAAGATAATGCCCAGAGGCAGTCTCATAGTGTCCACTCTGTCAAGTAAATCATTTGGAAGATAAAAATATGTTAGGAATAGTCTAAGTAAGTTTCAAGGTGACTATGTCAGGCAAATAACCACGCCTTTAAGTCTTAGTTCTGTTGTCAAGACAACTCACCCATATAAAAATGAAAATAATATACTTGTGAAAGCATTTGTGAAATATGAAAATCTGTAGGAAATTTATGGTTTTTATGTCTTCTCCCAGTGATTTTTATGTCCCTCTCCCTAACATAGATATGTGTTAGTCTTCTCCCACTAGTTTGATAAGAAAAAAACAAACCAAAAACCTTAAAGAGCTCAGTCTCCAAAGATTTTTGTGGTGGTTTCCTTTTCTCCTTGTCCCTGTGTACTATAGGTTTACTCTGAGGAGAGCAAATTTCTCTATTTCGATCTATTTTCAGTTATTCAAAAGTTAAAGATTTCAAAGCAGAGAAGTTAATTTCAGTAAATAGACCTTTTCTGAGGAGTTTTTATATATTCGTTATAAATAGAAAAACCAACAGTGTTCTAATGGCATAGACTTAATATACTGAAGACTTCATCTTTCATTAGATAGAAAAATTTTCTGGTCTCTCCAGGAGGTAAATGGGTAGGGGGAGGAAGACAAGAGATGGTAGGAACTTGGAACCCCAGAGCTTTTTAAATATAAGAGCAAAATACAGAAGCTACTGTGTATTATACAGACTCACATTTTTTTTTTTTTCCAATGGCTAGTTTGTTTTCTGCCAGTTCCAGTTACCCACATCCCTCTGTGTTTTGGGGCCTGTACTTCCTCTAAGGTGTGAGAGTTTGTTTTTTTCCTTCTGTGGGCTTTTACAGGCCTGAAAAAGCTTCTCCCCTTTTCTTTTTAAGGCCCTTCAGGAGTTTTTGCAATCTTTACTGGTCTCTAGAAGGGAGGAAATACACAATTTTTATCTTTCTTTTATAAACCTCGTCTTCCTAGAGATACCATGCTCCCAGCTGGCTACGATGGGATATTTCTAGATTTTCTTTTAGATCGCTTAGATGATTTGGGACATTAATAGTTACAAAAACTATTAAGGGAAAACTATAACAGGAGGTTATATATAGTATATTATTAATTTTATAGTATGTATAGTCTGTATATTGATTTCATCTAAATCTCTAAATATATACATTTCATCTATACATTTATAGTATGTATAGTCTGTATATTGATTTCATCTAAACAGGTTTCTGTCCCTTAGACTTGAAAGAACGTGTATCACTGTAGTATAGAGATGAAAATAAAGGACACAAACTAAAAATGATTTTGGTTTCTTTTTTTTTTTTTTGAGAGTTGAGGATGATTAATGCAGAGCTAGAATGACAGGCAGGCAAATGGATGGGTAGACAAACGGGTTCTATATTCCCAACTTGAAATCACACAATGCTTCATGAATTGAAAATCGATTAGGAAGTAAAAGTTTGCCATGGAATCCTGGCAGAGGAGAGAGTATAGTGAGGATGACATGGAAAGTAAAGGTATCAAGAGGTCTTACGTGGCAGATTGGAGGGCAGTAGGATACCACTAGTGTTTCACCACAGATGGTTTGAAAAGCACTGACCTAGAGCGACGTGAAACTTGGTAGCAACAGAAGTGGCTACAGGACCAGAACAGAGTATATACGTGGTAAAACTTCTTGATACCTTTACTGTTTCCATGTAGTGGCTATTATGACTATAAAATATTTATAAACATTTTTGTACACAGATTTTGATAGTCATAGACTCATTGCACTGGAATATAAACTTAGAATTGCCAAGCCTTTAGGGTAAATTTGTGTTTAGCTTTAGAAGAAACTCAGTTTTCCAAAGTGGTTGCAACATTTTTTCCTCCCACAATGTATGAGAGTTCCAGTTGCTACCTGTCTGCACCAACACTTGGTGTTGTCTTTAGTTTTTAATTTTAGCCGTTCAGTAATGTGTAGTTCTTAGTCATCGTGGTTTTATTTGCATTGCCCTGAGGAATAACGATGTTGAGCATATTTTCACTTGCTTATTGACCATTGGATATTCTCTTTTATGAAGTGCTGTGTAAAAATTTCCCCCCATTTTTTGAATTGGGTTTTGTCCTTTTCTTTTTGATTTTTAGAAGTTCCTTACATACACTGGGTCTGACTCCTTTGTTAGATATATGTATTAAAGGTATCTTCTCCCAATGCGTGTCCTATGTTTTCACTTTCTTAATGGTGTCTTTAATGAGTACACATTTTTATTTTGATAAAGCACTATTGTTAATTTTCTTTCTTTTAAGGATAGTGTTTTTTGTGTCTTATTTAAGAAATCTTTGCTTATCCTAAGATTTGAAAGATCTTTTCCTATGTTTTCTTCCAGAATCATTGTCATTTATCTTTCACATTTAAGTTTATGATTTGTCTGGAATTAATTTTTGTGTAAGATGTGAGGTAGGTGGTTAAGGTTCATTTTTCCCCCTAGTGCAGTTATCTAGTTGTCTAGCATTATTTATTGAAAAGACCACCTCTTTCCTCATTGTATTGGTATCTTTGTTGTAAATGTATTGACTTTACATGTGTGAATATAATTCTGGACTCCTTGTTCAATTACAGTGATGTGTCTGTCCGTCCTTACGCCAGTTGGCTTGTCTTATTTACTTTATTTGTATAAAAAGTCTTAAATCTCATCCATTTATCTTTGAGATGATTTAGAAACTGTGATAGGCTACATTTGTTTGGTTTGGGGTACAGCCATCTATTAGATGAAAAAAATCATATATTTAATAATCAGTTGGAAATGAATTAAACTTAGAACAAACTGATTGTCTTATAATACTTTATAGAGATAATTAACTTGTTTTTTAGGTCATGATGGGACTGTGTTAACATTTCAGAACCTTTGTTTTTAAATTGACATACACTTTGTGTTAACTTAAGGTAAGAAATGTACTGTGACTCTCTCTGGAAGTTAAAAATAGATCAGAAAGATGGATTTACATTTGCAAAGAGCTGTATTATAGGGGAAGTGAATTGATAAGCTGTTTAAGCCATGGCGATAGGCACAGTCTGTTCTGCTTTGTTCCAGCATTCTCTTTCCAGTAAATACTCTTTTAGTCTCATCCCTAGATCCTCTAGTGGTCAGTAAACATCTTTTTTTTTAATGTAATTTCAAAATTGTAAGATGCGTGTCAGAATCCTAGCAGGAGACAGAAGACATTCTGGTGGGATTTTAAAGAAAATTTAATGGAACTTCTTTCTATAGACAGACAGTAACAAAGTAAACAGCATGGCACCTGGAGACTAGCAGCAGCAAACATAGTTACCACCTTAGGGCTGAGGTGCAAGAAGAAATAACCATGAATATATTTAGAAATAATATAAAGCTGTATTTCTTCTCTTATAACTTATTTATTTAAATGTCACATGACAGGATCTTCCTGTGTTACCATCCCGTGAAAGTAACATTTCAGTTGATAGCAAATGAAATTTTAAGTAAACCTTTTTGAAGTGTACTGGTTCATTTCCTTTTTTCTCAGTATGTGGAAAATTTTCAGCATTTCTTATCAAGTGGAAAGAGACAAGATATTTTGTCATGGGGTATATCAAAAATAGCATTTGAGTATTTTCGTTCATATACATCACTGTTCCTTTCCTGTACTGCAATTATCTCCCTCACAAATAAATTCTGGGAATTCTCAGTTGATATGTAAATAGCAATATGACAGAAGTCTTAACTTAAATAGCAATTCAGTTAGCTTAAAATTTAAGTTACCTTTTTAAATACCTTTTACCTAGGTTCACAATGGTCCGTAGTGGAAAAAATGGTGACCTTCATCTTAAACAGATTGCATATTACAAACGAACTGGTGAATATCATCCAACTACACTGCCAAGTGAGCGAAGTGGTATAAGAAGAGCAGCAAAAAAATTTGTCTTCAAAGGTAAAATTCATGTTCAAAATTTTGATTATTGATTCTTCCCTACATTCTTCTTTGTGGAAATTTGAGAACTTCTGTAGTAATTGGTTGTTGCTAAATAATTACCAGTTGAATTGATGATGCCACTCAATCAAAAGCAAAATAAAAATTACACTCAACTAACTGAAGGCCAGTAAGCATGAAAAGGGTGGTTTAAATTATAGACACAATATGATACCATGAAAGAAAACGAAATATTTTTCTAAATTGATGACTTCTGCTTTTACCCTTTCGTGGTCTCTAACGGTGCACTTTCCAGCACTGATGCCACTTTCAATGAGGAACTTTTTTGATGCTTAATAGGAAAATGTTGACAAAGTTAATTGGTTTGTTTACTAACATGAAAACTGGAAGGAATTAACTATATTTCTGTGATCATGTCCCCCCAACCCCACCACTGCCATTAAATATTCTCAGGATCACATTCATTTTAGGACCCTTGGATCTTCCTGAATGGACTAAATATTTGAAAGGCAGTGGGATATTTATCTTGGAAGGTCATGATAATTTTTCTCTCTTTTTCCGCATATAAAGGGGAAGAGAAATTTGGGATGAGATAAGCAACAAGTAGTCACCAGATAATTAAATGGATTTTGTGTTATAAATGGTAATTTTGTCTCTTAGGCTTACCCCAAAGCAGGTTAATAAAACTGTAAGATAATAAATAAATGCCTGCTTGCGTCTCCCTGTGTATATCCCTACCAATAACTCCCTTATACTTAAGATTAGGCAGACCCATTACCTCTTAAACTGAAGTGAGGATTCATTCATTCATATATTTGATAATTTATGTAACAAATGTTAACTGGGTTTCTGCTATGTGCCAGTCACATTCTAAGCCTTGGAGATATATTGAAGAATAACATAGATAAGGTTCCTGCTCTTATATTGCTTATCTTCTAATTCTAAAAAGTAAGGAATGTTCCACTCATCAATCTGCTTACTCATGTTAGTAGCTGAATGGTGTATTTTGGAATTTGAATAGCTAGCCCATTCACACTAGAGAGGTAGATGGTGATTTGCTGCATCCCCTGGTTACTTCCGAGCTGAAGATTCTTCTCAGTTGTACTCCTAAGGAAACAGAATTGTCTTGAGGATTAAAGTTTTTTCCACTTCCGCACTTCACCATCCCTACCTTCTACTCAGATATAGAAAAAGCGGAGAGAGCTGTTTGCTTGCAAAAACGCAGTGATGATAAAACATTATTTTAGAAAATTCTGTTCCAGGTAGGTGTTTCTCTATATGTAATTTATTTGCTAATCTGTTCCATTTTTAGGATGTGCCTGCAAAATCTTCCTACTTTAAGTACTCCCATAGAGAGATAATTTCGTATTTCCGTACTTATTACATGCTTTGGTGAACAAGCTGGCTCTGTTTATATTGATAGGTACAAAATTATAGCAGCTACCGCCCTTCCTAAGTGTCTAAGTGAGTGTAACAGCTAAGAACCTTTGTGTGGTAGCATCATTACAAATAAATATTTTGTTTTAAATGCAGTAAGATTTTGTAAAACAAAACAAAAACCTTCATGGTTTAAACAGAAGGCTATGATTCTCTTAGAACTACATACATCTCTAAAAATTACAATTCTATCTTTTTGGTATCATTTATTCCAGAAAAAAAGCTGTTTTATGTTGGAAAAGACAGAAAACAAAATCGTTTGGTAATTGTTTCAGAAGAGGAAAAAAAGAAAGTCTTAAGAGAATGCCATGAAAATGACAGTGGAGCTCATCATGGTATATCCAGGACCCTCACTCTGGTAGAATCCAATTATTATTGGACATCTGTGACCAATGATGTCAAACAGTGGGTATGGCTTATGTATTTAGAATATTATGAATACTGTCTTTCTGATAGATATTTACAATTTATTATTTCTCCAGGTTTATTGTGGGTATCACCTCTCATTAAGTATTTTTGGCATGGTTATTTTTATTTAAAAACCATTTAAAGGAAGTTGTATTTCCCTTCACAGTTTTTTAAAATAACTTAAGTATAATTTGAAAAGTAAAGAAGCATCATTTAAACACTTGCAAATGCCATATTTAGATAAGAGATTATTTAGAATCATATTTGTATCTTTGAATTTTTTTGTGTAGGCAGAATTTAAATGGAGCTGGAATTCATTTGACTAAATCATTACCTTTTCAATGGCAATCATACAAGGTTTTTTTAGGAGGAGAATATGTTCATAGTAAGTCAGGCCTAATATGTGCTCTCATCTTTTGTGCTTGTTCCATCTTGAGATAGAATGTCATATATGACAGAAACCCAAAACCAAATATAACCAAAATCAAATTTTGAGAATCATGAAATAAGTCTGAGTTTTGTAACTTTATGACCCATTGGGACCTTCAACTTCTCCTAATAGAAAATTCACCTATAGGAATTTTGGGGTTCTTACTAGAAGTCAACTGATCCTACTCTTTCCAGTGTACTGTATGCCAAATGGTAGGAATTCCTTGGTATATCTGTGAAATCTCCTTAATAATTGTAGTAGTGCATCAAAAAGACTGGCATTTCAAGCATAAAGAATTAAACCAACAGTTAAGTATCATTTGTGAGTTATCAGTTTATGGGTCTGTTCAGGTATTCCAAAGACCTTCATAATTTATATATTTTTCCTGCCATGCATTTTTTACAAACATTCAGTTAAATCTTTGTCGAATTGTTATCACTGCAGAATGAATATGATTTTTGGAAATAATCAGAAGTTATTTGTGATAAAATCCAACAAGTAAGTTTAAATTGGAAAATGAAAATTCTGATCAAAAGTAACTGTGACTATAAGGTGATTAAACAGCTTTTTAATTTTTCTTCAGAAGCTAGTTTGAAAGTAGTTTCTAGAGTGGAATTCCAGAGATATATTGAGAAATGGCACCCATCCATAAATTGAGCAGTTAATCTTGTCTCTCCTCACTTAAATGAAAGCTGCAGGACAGCATGGGTTTTGTTTATGTTTATTCTTTTCTCACGATTGAGAGAAATGTCTCTATCTATACATATTTTGTGAATGAAATTATATTTCAATAAATATGGTTGGAATAGATTAATGAATAGACTTCTTAACGTGATAACTTTAGGAGGAAACATTTTGTGCATATAGAAATTATTGTAAACTTACACACTGATTTTAAATTATAGGAAACTTGTTTAAGATCTTTTAAAGTATTTAATAAATATGTATTCAGTGTGAACCAGATTTATGTTTCATGTGAATGAGACCCAATAAGATGGTCATTTAGTCGTATAGTCTTCCTTTAGTATAAGCAAGGGATTGGTTCCAGCACCACACTCATATAACCAAATCTACTCATACTGAAGTCTTTCAGTCGATCCTGTGAAACTCGCATATACAAGAAGTCAGCTTTCTGCATCCTTGAGTTTCTCATTCCTCCCTACCAATACTGTACTTTTTATTTGTGTTTAGTTAAAAAAAAAGCCATGTATAAGCTGACCTTCTCAGTCCAAACCCATGTTGTTCGAGGGACAGCTGTAGTGGCAACTACAGTTGTTTGTTGTTGTTTTATTTGTTTGTTGTTCTAAATAGGTTTAATCCAGTGATTCTCAGTCCAGAAGTTTCTTCTTCAAAACAGGAAGTGTACCTATTAACCATTTTAAAATTCAGATTTATAAGACTGCTTTTATATTGTGTAGAGTGTTAACATTTGTATGTATTTTCTTTATTGTGTGCCTGTTTGTAGGTATATGCTTGTCAGCATTGCCAAGTGGCAAAAAATACAGTTATTGTAGCACCGAAACAGCACCTTCTCAAGGTGGAAAATCCATGGAGTTTAGTTACTGTTGATCTGATGGGACCTTTTCATACAAGCAACAGAAGTCATGTATATGCTATAATCATGACAGATTTGTTCACCAAATGGGTTGTGATTTTGCCTCTATGTGATGTTTCAGCATCAGAAGTTTCTAAAGCTATTATCAATATATTTTTCTTATATGGACCTCCTCAGAAAATAATAATGGACCAAAGAGATGAATTCATTCAACAGGTAAGACAAATAAACTACTTAGGTCTGGGAGCATATCTTATTCCTTTTCAGTGTCCAGAACCAGTGCCCTCTGCATTATGTCACAGAGTGCTTAATAAATTCAGATAAATTGCTATAGGTATAGAGGTATGATATTAAATACTACAAGGATAATTGTACTGGAAATTAGGAGATTAAGATTTTAATACTTACTGTGGGTTATTGTAAACCCATCTTCAGATATCCTCAAATTAAAATGAGGAGGTTGGACCAAATAATCTTTATTTACTTCTAGATTAAAAACCTGTGATTGATTGGGCCTGGTGGCTCACACCTATAATCCCAACACTTTAGGAGGCTGAGGTGGGTGGATCACTTGAGCTCAGGAGTTCAAGACCACCCTGGGCAACAGGGCAAAACCCTATCTCTACAAAAAATACAAAAATTAGCTGGGCATGGTGGTAGGAACCTGTAATCACAGCTACTCAGGAGGCTGTGGCAAGAGAATCGCTTGAACCCGGGAAGTAGAGGTTGCAGTGAGCCGAGATCGCACCATTGCACTCCAGCCTGAGCGACAGAAAGACTCCATCTCAAAAAGAAAAACAAAAAATTAGCCAGGTGTGGTGGCATGCACCTGTGGTCCCAGGTACTTGGGAGGCTGAGATAGGAGGATCACTTGAGCCCAGGAGGCAGAGGTTGCAATGAACTGAGATTGTGTCACTGCACTTCAACCTGGGCAACAGAGTAAGACCTTGTCTCAAATAATAATAATAATAATTAATAATAATAATATGATTGACAGGTAAAGGGAGACTTAAATAAATGGAAAAATACATTGTGTTCATGAATAAGACTATTCAGTATTGAAAGGTACTTTTTCCCTTGTCCTGGCCTTTTCCCAGTTAAAATTAACCTGAAAGGATAAACAGGGGAGAATATATATGAAAACTTTTTATAAGAAATATAATAAGTACTAGACTTAAGGCATATGTTAAAACTTCTTGTAATTGACAGGGTACATGTTTAAGAAAAATCAGAGATAGCCAGACTTGGTTCAAAGCATCTTTGATGGCTCAGTCCAAAAGAAATATCTAAAGTTATATTTATTAAGTAGATAGGACATATCATGGCACCCCAGGATTATTCCCAGTTTTCATAATTCTCTAGGAGGACTCAGCATATAGTCATATTCATGGCTAAGATTTATTCAGCAAAGAGAAAAGACACATTGGGAGAACCAGGTACAAGTTTCTAAGATCTCCTCCCCCAATAGAGTTACACAGGACATGTTTAATTCCTTTAGCAGAGTTGTGACAACACAGGGAAGCTCACTAGAGGCTCAGTGCCTAGGGTTTTTACTGGGGGCTGGTCACATAGGCACCTTCTACCTGGCATGTACAAAAATTTCAGACTCTTAGAAGGAAAGATTGTGTTTGGTCTTATAACCAAAACCTAAGCTCCTAGACGTTAGCCAAGGTGCAACCTTGTAAGCAGGCCTTTCAAAGAATAGCAGTCACAGATCCGTTGTGTTAATATGTTAAAGTTAACTGTCAGGTTAATTCTTTTCTTCACAGGTCCATCCAAACAACTTAATAAGTATTTATGTTGTAACCACTTAGTAGGAATTTAAAATACTCATAAATTGAAAGACAATATATTTTTGTTTCATTCTTTTTTTTTGAGACAGGGTCTCATTCTGTCACCCAGCCTGGAGTGCTGTGGCACTGTCTTGGCTCAATGCAACCTCCGCTTTCCAGACTCAAGTGATCCTGCCACCTTAGCCTCCCAGCTAATTTTTGTACCTTTTTTCTTTTAGAGACAGGTTTCACCATGTTGCCCAGGCTGCTTTCGAACTCCTGAACTCACACGATCCACCTGTCTTGACTTCCCAGAGTGCTGGAATTACTGGTGTGAGCCACCACACCCACCCCTTTCATTTCATTCTTAACCGTAATTACTTGCTAATGGGTAATGTGTACCTGTTGACCACTGCTTACCTTCTCAGACCTTGGAATCATATTGTACACTGCGACCCTCATTTCCTGTTTCACACTGATTTTTACATAGTAACTGCTTTTTATCACAGCATTCGATGAAGAAAACAGTTCTGTAAAGATGTGATGTCATCAAATGAATTGTAACCTGATCTAATGTTGAAACTGAACTGCCTTAAACTGGTAGTTTTCATGGTGTCCAACAGATGTTAAGGGGTAACTTAGCACAAAGTTTGGTAACAGTGCTTTAAATGATAAAGCTAGTGTCACAAATGTGTCTAGTAGAGGAGGAACATGTAATTAATTAACAGGTAACAATTTGCTAATTGTTTAAAATTATTTCTGTAATATGATTTTAGAATCTAGTACCAAAAGAATTTTCAGGTAAATTAAAGAATTTTAATTTTTAAAGTAGAAACAGAAAAAAATATGTTTGACTTTTAATCTCTAGAAATGGAGGTCGCATTCTAAACCTAGGAACAGTGGTATAAACTTCAATGGAAAAAGATTAAATTTGGCTGCATAATAATAGGAGATTTATGTGGTCGTTTTGTAAATGAAGGCAAGGTAGTCTTGCCTGCCTTGATTGACATAGCAGTGATCTGTGCAGTGTAGTACGTAAGGCAATCCAGTCTGGGGGAAGACTATTGGAACTTCTACTTATACTTTTTAAATCCAAAAAATAAGAAATAAAGCTTTATTAATAATGTATACAGATTGATAATAGCATCCTGACTCAATCAACAAGACAGCTATGTCACACATACTATATGAAGGTATCCTGAAAGAAAAGTGAGAATCCACATGTTTCCTCACTCATACTTTTGCTTTCAGCAGTTGAATGAAAATATGGATATCATCTAGCATTCACCACAGTACTCACAAAATGGCCAGGGAGCTTAGAGTTTTGCAGTAAAAGAAGATAATACTAAAAGGCAAACACCCATCAACCACAAGAAAATGATAATGCTGGCACGTCTACGTAACTTCCAGCTCTTAGTTAGACACAGCAATGAGATGAATACAAATATTAACTATAGTAGTCCTTATTTATCTGCAGTTTTACTTTCTGAGGTTTCAGTTCCTATAGTCAAGTGCAGTCCAAAAATATTAAATACAAAATTCCAGAAATAAACTATTTATATTTTTTTTAATTGCACACCATTCTGCGTATAGTGATGAAATCTCATGCTGTCCTGCTCTGTCCAAATGGGATGTGAATCATCCCTTTGTCTAGCATATCCTCATTGTATATTCTACTCCCTCCCTATCGTTACTCACCTTGTAGCTATCTTGGTTATCAGATCAAATGTCCTGGTTAGTAGTGTTTGTATCCAAGTTACCCTTATTTTACTTAAGAATAGCCCCAAAGTGCAGGAGTAGTGATGTTGGCATATTGTCAGTCGTCCTATTTTATTTTTAGTTGTTAGTCTCTTACTGTGCCTAATTTATAAATTAATCTCCATCGTAAGTGTATATGTATAGGGGAAAACATAGTATAGATAGGGTATGGTACTATCTGCAGTATCAAACATTCACTAGGGGCCTTGGAACATATTCTCTGAAGATAAAAGGAGACTACAGTTATCAGATCTGATAGGAAATTAGCCATCAAAATTCAAAATTATTGAGAATACTCTTTGAAATATTGGTTCACTTCCACTTTTATTAATGAAGAGGCTTACCCTAAGTGCATATAATGTTTCAGGGTATTTGCTAATGATAATATGAAGTCATTATGATTAGCTAGCAGGTTTTCCAGTCGTGTTTAAAGTCATCTGGTAACCAAACCACGACTTGGAAAATTTTACTAAAGGTAACAACAGGGCCAAGTGTGGTGGCTCATACCTCAGCTTTTTGGGAGGCTGAGGTGAGAGGATAACTTGAGACTATGGGTTCAAGACCAGCCCATGCAATATAGCAAGACTCCATCTCTACAAAAAAAAAAAAAAATTAATTAGCTGGACATGATGTTGCACACCCATAGTCCCAGCAACTCAGGAGGCTAAGGTGTAAGGATTGCTTAAGCCTAGGAGGTCAAGGCTGTAGTGAGCTATGATTGTACCACTGCATTCCAGTTTGGGTAACAGTGAGACCCTGTCTCAAAAAACAAACAAACAAACAAACAAAAAAAGTAATAATAGGCTGTGCTTGGTGGCTCATGCTTGTTGTAATCCTACCAGGCAGATTGCTTGAGCCGAGGAGTTCGAGACTAGCCTAAGCAACATGGCGAAATGCCATCTCTACAAAAAATACAAAAATTAGCCAGGAGTGGTGGCTCACACTTGTAGTCCAGCTACTCGGGAGGCTGAGATGGGAAGATCGCTTGAGCCCAGGAGGTTGAAGTTGCAGTGAGCCAAGATCATGCACTCTAGCCTAGGAAACAGAGTGAGACCCAGTCTCAAAAAAAAAAAAAAAAAGTAACAATAAATATTTGCAGGCCTATTTTATGAGATTGCTTAAACAAAAAAGGGACATATGATTGGGAAAACTTGTTCTTTTTGCTGTGATTAAAATGGCTTCACTATTACACAGAAAGTATAACGATGATAGTACAGAATGAACTCTTGTCAGCAAATACTGAAACAGAAAACACTGCTAAAGATTATAACATAATACACAATGTAGGAGGTTTATTGTATAGTCGAATAAAAATACAGATGTTTCTTAGAGTATTTGCTAAATTGTTTCAATAAAATGCACGAAGAACTTTTTGTAAACCTCTGAAGGAAAGAAAATAAACATATTCAGTAGAAAAATTAATTTTTTTAAAATGTCTTACAGAAAACTAGAATTGTAAGAACTGATGGAATATCTGGTTTGATGGTTGGGGGGCTGATAGGGTAAGGATGTCAAGATACCATTTCACAAATGGATTCCCTGGATCATTTCTAAGCAACCTTTTGAAACAAAGAAGGTAAAGCCTTTTTCAAGGGTCATTTAAAACCATTGATCAAGACTCAGATTGAAGCTGACCCAAATGACACCTATTCTCTGGGATTTGTTTCTAATTACTTTTGAATTAAAAATAGGCATCCTGAATTAGTATGTATATCAGCTAGGAAGTGTATTCAATCCGAGTAACAGACTGTCTTTCCCTATCCCAATATAATAATATGTGTTATATATATTAACCCAATTGGGAGTGATTAAGAGTCACTCCTGTTGTATTCACAATATGGCTGCCAGAGCACATGCCACAATGCCTACATTTCAGTCAGAAAGAAGGGAGAGAGTATTGGGCAAACAAAACTAGTACCAGCTGAGTTTGCCTAACAACTTTTACTTACAACTTTTTGGCTAGAATTATGTCACATGACCACCCCTACCTGCAAGGGGGTTTGGGACATGTAGTTTTCTTTTTGTTGCTTTCCGCTCTTGTATTAACTTTGCTTATTTAGTTATTCTGATACTACTGGTCTGAAATACTCTTTTTTTAAAAGACAAATTTATGAGCCAAAGGTTTACTCAACTAAAAATAATAAGGAAAAAAAAGTCTGAAGGGTGAGGTAGGAAAAAAATATTATTTTATATTTAACAGGCTTACTGTTACAAGTTTTGTAAACTCATTTTGGTTTCTTTTAAGCGCTACACATAATATGGTAACACCAATAATAGTAGTTAAAAGTTATAAAATGCTTATTATTGCCAATAAGTGTTTTACATGCTTTTTAAACATTAACTTACGACCTAGTGGGTTGTTTTTGAGACACTGTCTACTGAATTAAAAAGTTACTTGAGGGCTGGATGCAGTGGCTCATGCCTATAACCTCAAAACTTTGAAAGGCTGAGGTGGGTAGATTGCTTGAGTCCAGGAGTTTGAGACCAGCCTGGGCAACATGGTGAAACTCCATCTGTACAAAATATTTAAAAATTAGCTGGGCATGGTGACACATGCCTGTAGTCCAAGCTGCTAGGCAGGCTGAGGTGAGAGGATTGCTTGAGTCCGGGTGGTGGAGGCTGCCCTCCAGCCTGTGCAACAGAGCAAGACACTGTCTCCCACTGCCTACCCCCACAAAAAAAGAAAAAAATTAAACTCAAAGTTAGTGTTAAGTTCTGTTCTCCTGTTTCCTTGTTGTATGTGTATATTTGGCAAGGCACTTAATCTCTCAAAGCTTCAGCATCTTACCTTTAAAATGAAATTAATAATACCTCAAAAACTTGTTGTAAGGTTTAATGACAATAATGTAAAGTGTCTAGTGTGATGATCAGCATGTAGTAAAGACTCAATAAATGGTAACCACTATTTTATACATGAAATTTTACATATTTTCATATAGAATGTTATGGTCAACAAAAAAGCAAGATTCAGCCAGGCATGGTGGCTCACACCTGTAATCCCATCACTTTGGGAGGACAAGGCAGGTGGATCACAAGGTCAGGAGTTCAAAACTAGCCTGGCCAATATGGTGAAACCCCATCTCTACTAAAAATAATGAAAATTAGCCGGGCGTGGTGGCGCGTGCCTGTAGTCCCAGCTACTTAGGAGGCTGAGGCAGAAGAATCGCTTGAACCTGGGAGGCAGAGGTTGTAGTGAGCTGAGATTGCGCCACTGCACTCCAGGCTGGGCAACTGAGCGAGACTCCATCTCAAATAATAACAATAATAATAATAAAAATAAAACGCAAGATTCTAATTCTTTTGAAGCTTTTTTTAAGTCAGTGGAAAAATGAAACACAAATTTTAAAAAGCCAGCTTTGTTTTATATATCTTTCAGATCAATATTGAACTGTACAGATTGTTTGGCATAAAGCAGATTGTAATTTCTCACACCTCTGGAACTGTTAGTCCAATGGAAACTACACCTAGCACAATCAAAGCATTTCTCTCCAAACACTGTGCTGACCACCCAAACAACTGGGATGATCACCTATCAGCTGTTTCATTTGCCTTCAATGTAACTCACTTGGTACGTGCCTTTTTATAATTCTGTACTTCTGAGTTATGACTATTTATTGGCCAGATAAATGTTTTATTATAAAATTGACATTTATTTTCTTTAAAATAGGAACCTACTAAAAATACACCATATTTTCAAATGTTTAGTCGAAATCCTTATATGCCTGAGACTTCAGATAGTCTTCATGATGTGGATGGTGATAATACAAGTATGTTTGCCAAAATTCTAGATGCAATTAAAGAAGCTGATGAAATAATGGAGAATAAGACAACTTCACTGGGCCAGGTGATTCTATTCAATAGAAAAACTGTAATCTAAAACTTTATAAAGTTGTATTTATTTTTTAAATTTCAGCATATACATGTGTGCATGTACACAGACACGCATACATACTTGCCATAACTTTTTATCCATCAGATTTTTATTGTCTTGATTAAATAGTTTACTAGCTATGACATGCTGAGGGGCAATAATGAGAAAGCTATGGATTTTGGAATCAAGTAGAGCCGGATTCAAATCTTTAGTCTTAACTGCTTTTGAGTTGTTTGACTTTGGCAAATTCCTTAACCTATCTTAGTTTACCTTCTATATAAAGTAGGAGTTAATAATACTGACTTGGAAATGTTGTTTTAAGAATTAAATATAATTCATGCCTACCTTTTAGTAGCATCTCAAGTAACCATTTTGTTGTAATATTCTCATTGTCTACATTTACCTTCAAGATATTATAGCTCTTCCATCTCTTCTTTTTCTTTTTACACTTGTAGATGGAGAACAACAATTTGGATGAACTAAATAAAAGCAAGATCATTGTTAAAAAGAAACCCAAACAATTAAATCCATTTCATTTAAAAGTGGGTCATGAAGTTTTAAGACAAAGGAAAAATTGGTGGAAGGATGGTCGTTTTCAATCTGAATGGGTTGGTCCTTGTGTCATAGACTATATTACGGAAAGTGGATGTGCTGTCCTGAGAGACAATACTGGGGTTAGACTGAAAAGACCTATCAAAATGTCCCACCTTAAGCCCTACATAAGAGAATCCAGTGAACAAGGTAAATATCTGTCACTTCTCTACATTTTTATTGCTTTGGGTAAGGAGAAAAGTTAAAAATAACAGAAACCTTTCTCCCCTCTTTTGTTATGTTTTCTTTTCCCTTCTTCATAAAATTTGTTAGCTATCCCAGGTAGTCTGTTTTATTACAGTGTCTCTTCTGGAACTGTCAGGCCTGTGAGATTTTTTTTTTTTTTTTGAGACGACGTTTCCCTCTTTTTGCCCAAGCTGGAGTGCAGTGGCGCGATCTCGGCTCACTGCACCCTCCGCTTCCCAGGTTCAAGCAGTTCTCCTGCCTCAGCCTCTGAGTAGCCGGGATTACAGATGCGTGCCACCACGCCCGGCTAATTTTTTGTATTTTTAGTAGAATGGTATTTCACCATGTTAGCCAGGCTGGTCTTCAACTCCTGATCTCAGGTGATGCACCCGCCTTGACCTCCTAAAGTGGTTGGATTACAGGTAGGAACCAGGGCGACCAGGCATTTTTATTTTTTATTTCTAGTATGTTTTTCATAGTTTATGTGGGAGATACTGAACTTGTTTTCTTCTGAAGGAAAGATAACAGCTTAACATCATCTCTATTTTTGCTTTCTCAATGTTTTTTTTTAAATTTTTTTTTTATTTTTTGAGACAGAGTCTCACTCTGTCCCCCAGGCTGGAGTGTGGTCGTGTAATCTCAGCTCTCTGCAACCTCTGCTTCCTGGGTTCAAGCAATTCTCGTGCGTCAGCCTCCCGAGTAGCTGGGATTATAGGCACATGCCACCATACCCAGCTAATTTTTTGTATTTTTGGTAGAGATGAGGTTTCACCATGTTGGCCAGGCTGGTTTTTAACTCTTGGCCTCAAGTGATTTGCCTGCCTCGGCCTCCCAAAGTGCTGGGATTGCGTGCATGTGCCATTGCACCTGGCCTCACAAATATTCTGTTAGTCACTTCGTGCCTCTTTTTGGTGTGAAAAACAGCACCTACGATCATTAATGTCAGAAGCAAACATACTGTCCAGAATCCAGTTGTGAGATAAATATTTGGGTACTTTAAAAATGCCATTAATTTTTAATATTGCTTTGTAGTTAGTTAGGTCATGGTTGGGGGCCAGGTGTGGGTGTGGAGTGGGGTATCCTCAGAATGCTATAAGGTGCTGTAAGAAGAGGTGATAGCACTCTGTAAACAAGTTATACTTGCCCCTAAATTTGACTGGTTCTGAACAGTCAAGATATCCTGTTCTCTGTAACTCTTTCTTTCATAGCCTAGTTAAGTGATGTTTTTGCCATGGCTTTTAGATTATGTTCCCCGCTTTATCAAGGCTTTTATTTTGTCCTAATGCATCTGCTTCCTAGAGCTTCTCTGAAGTGGATAACTGAGAGGGAGTTAATGGGTAACTTAGCCAGATGAAGCATTAATGTTATTTGGATATAAGTAACATTTAATGGAAAATATATTTATAACAATATAAACAAGTTGTATGACAGGCTTTAGCAAATATTAATAACAAAAAGAGTAACAACAACAAATAACCTACACTTACCCTATGCCTTTTCTTAAGATGTAAAACCCTTGTGGACTGCGTAGTAATGATAGCTCAACTCTGCTTCTAATCTGGGGTACAACTCTCATGTTAAAACCTCTTAGTACCTTCCCTTCTTGTGACAGACCCAGTTGTTTAGTCAGTAAACTTATCTTAAACTATGTTCTAATCCTGAAAACTCACAAGTACTTTCGTCTCTTTGTTAGAAGATAAAAGCTTGCATTGTTTGTGCCTCTTCTCAGTTCTGAGCTACCTTTAATGATCTCTCTCTTCTGCAAGTTAAGTAGGGAAAAAAAGGTTATACAAGTACATGTTGTTCTGTCTTCTTTAGCATGATTTTCCCCTTAATATTTGACATTCATGATTTGCTCACTTCTACTTTGTTAACCTTCTTTAATACAAAATTTACATTTAAAATTTTGCTAAACCAGGATCCATCAACATTTTGTAATTTGTTTTTAAGAAAAGAGTTTCTCAGAAAAGAAGTCAAATATTGTGCTTCTTCTGAACATTTCAGAACTCAGTATTTCAGAACTCATCTTCTCTGTTTGAGAACAGTCTCTAAACAGAGGCAGTATAATATTTGCCTCATACTTGAATTCTTTGCACAAGTTTCTTCCAGTAATATAAGGATAAGTAATATTGCAATATGACTACTGGTGTATGCATAAGGAACTTAAGACTAATAAATGAATCTGTTTTAGTTTTTGTTAACCAAAGGAACTACTGATCCGGTCATCCTAGAATCTGGTTCTTAACTACTTGATACTTTTTTTACATTTTTCTCATTTGTAGAAATTCAAAGTAAGTGTTATTTCTGCCATCTTTTTCCTCTATATTACATATTTTCTTGAAAATCTTTTCCATGATTTTCTTGAAAATGACCTCACAAATTGATTTTAAAGAGTCTTTGAGCTGAATTAAAGCAAACAAAATGATTTTGAATAATCATTGAAATTTTTATTTGACATAAGTTTCGGTATGCTATAGCCAAAAGAACTATAAATTTATTTGTCCACATTTGTCATTGCTGCTCTTTGCTAGGCTTGAAATTTCATAGCGGTATTAAAGACTGTCTAAAGTAGATATACTTCTGTTGCCAACTTCTTATCCATTCTTATCTAGAACTAAATGTGGAGTGAGCACATTCAGTACTAGTTATATAATATTTGTCATTGCTATTTTAAGCAGGCCTGTTTGTTTTTTTGTGTAGTTCATTGCCAAGTGCTTTCTCAGACTATTTGGACAAGAAATCTTAAAATACCGTAGTGTCTTTTTGTAATCATAATGCTCCTCTTTGAAAGGAAAATTAATCTGACAGATTTTGCATAGTTTTGAATTTATTTTGTTTGTGATATATTTGGGTCTGCCTCACCCAAGATTTTAGCCTGATTTCCCTTCACAGTTGAAAGCCCCATTTGTGAAATGATTTTCATTATTGTATAAGTTTCTTCTTGTTGCCGTAACAAATTACTACAGATTTAATGGCTTTAAAACAACACACGTTTATTATCTTACAATTCTGAAGGTTAGAAGTTCAACATAGATCTTACTGGGCTAAAATCAAGGTATTGGCAGTGTTGTGTTCCTATCTGGACGCTCTAGAAAAGAATCCATTTTCTTGTCTTTTCCAGCTTCTAGAGGTTACCTTCATTTCTTGGCTTGTCCCTCTATCTTCAAAGCCAACAATAGTGGATTGAGTTTTTCTTACATCACCTTACTCCAATCTCCTCTTCTGCCTCCCTCTTCTGTATTTGAGGACCCTTGACCTTTGGCCTGCCCAAAAAGTCCAGGATTATCACCCTATTTTAAGGTCATCTGATTAGCAACCTTAATTCCATCGCTACCTAAATTCTCCTTTGCCATGTAAGGTTATATATTCACAGGATCCAAGGAGTAGTATGTTGACATCTTTAGGGGTCTATTATACTGCCTACTACAATTATGATCTGCATTCATGGAACAAAGCAAAGCACAGTCTCTATAGTATCAAGTCCATGATCTTGACATTATCATTAATATAGTTTATGCAGAGAGCCTTTCTTTGGCCTCTTAGTTAATATCATTTTTTCTTTCTTTCTCTCTCTTTTTTTTTTTTTTGAGACAGGTTCTTACATGGTTGCCCGTGCTGGAGTGCAGTTGCACAATAATAGCTCACTGCAGCCTTGACTTCCTGGGCTTAAGCAATCTTCCCACATCAGCCTACCAAGTAGCTTGGAATACATGTATGCATCACCATGCCTGGCTGATTTTTTTATTTTTTATAGAGACAAGATCTTACTATGTTGCCCAGGTTGGCCTCAAACTTCTGGGCTCAAGCAATCCTCCCACCTAGACCTCCCAGAGTGTTGGAATTACAGGTGTGAGCCATTGTGCCCAGTCCAGTTATATAATTTCTAAACCAACAGTTATTCAGTTCTCTATTGACAGTATTAGTTATTATAATGACAGTGATGTAGTATCAAGTTATAGTTATTATTTTGTCTTGAGAAAGGATATACTAGTATGGCAGCACATTCTAATAGTTTGAGGATTATCAGACCATATATAGGAGTAGTTTAGTCACTTCTCTTTAAATAAGAAAAGTAGTCTGAAACCTTTATCTTTTTTTTCTGATTGAAGAAATAAATTAATCCAAATCAGACTTTTTTGAAGCTGTAATTTTTATTTATTTTTCTCCTTAGGGAAATTTAAAAATTGATTTTTTAATCTATTATTTTTACTCCTTAAAACAACATTAAGGCTGGGCGCAGTGGCTCATGCCTGTAACTCCAGCATTTTGAGAGGCCGAGGTGGGATTGCCTGAGCTCAGGAATTTGAGACCAGCCTGGGCAATATACTAAAACCCCATCCGTACAAAAAAATACAAAAATTAGCTGGGCGTGGTGATACGCACCTTTAATCCTAGCTACTTAGGGGGCTGAGGCAGAGGATCACTTGAGCCTGGGAGATTGAGCTGCAGTGAGCCAAGATTGCACCACCACTGCACTCCAGCCGGAGTGACAAAGTGAGACCCCATCTTTTTTTTTTTTTTTTTGAGATGGAGTTCAACTCTTGTTGCCCAGGCTGGAGTGCAGTGGTGCGATCTTGGCTCACTGCAACCTCTGCCTCCTGGGTTCAAGTGATTCTCTTGCCTCGGCCTCCCAAAGTGCTGGGATTACAGGCATGAGCCACCACGCCTGGCTGAGGCCCCCTCTCTTAAAAAAAAAAACCCTACAATAAAAATGAGTATTAAAACTGCTGATTAACACCTTCCTGAAATATCTTGAAAATATTTTAATTTCAAAGAAACTAAAGACTTACTCATTCAGTCTTGTCAAAACTGTGATGATGCTTTCATCAAACAGATGTCATAATCATAATTAATAGAATGAGAAAAAAATACTTAGTGAAATGTATTATGTAATGTAACTGACTGGAAAAGATCTTTAATGTGATATGTTTGTTTACTCCCCACCTCTGTGTTTTGAGGGCAAAAAGTTTAATCATGTTCTTTTCTATATCCCTAACTCAGGATTGTTTTAGATTAGTGCTGTCCAATAGATTAATAATAATACAAGAGCTATGTAATTTAAAATTTTCGAGTAGCCACATTTTGAAAGGTACAGAAATAAGTGAAAATAACCTTAATAATATATTTTATATAACCCAGTATCCAAAATATTATTTGTTCAACATGTAAGGCCCCAAGAGTCTCTTTTCTGATTATCTTTATTGAAATTAAAGAGCATTTCTCTTAGCTCCAGTAGATTTAGACCATAGTAGGAGTTGAAACACATTTAACCTTGCAAATGAATGAGAATTTTTTTTCTAAACAAGCAGGCCTTTGACATATTCAGAGTAGTTTTCTATTGTGTATAAAGTGATTTATGTAGAATTTGCTGAGTGTAGTCCTTGTTCTCTACAGTTTTATTACAATAAGTTACTTTAAAGATTAATTTTTTTACAAGAAAAAGTGTGTGTGTGTGTGTGTCTTATTTTACTTACATACAAAAGCTCTCCTCTTAAAATCAAGTGAGGTTGGTAATGTCCATTTGTTTCTAACCAGTGTAACTAGGAGGTACTCAAGTTCAAGGTCTCTGAATCCATTTCAGCAAATTAAAATGATAATTTCTAAGAGCTTTACATCTAGGCATATTTTTTCCCTATTGACATATGTTTACTAGACATATTTTTCTAAAATAGTCCTACTTCATCTGTATGGAAAAACGTTTACAGACAGAAAACCTCCCAGTTAATCCTCTGAAAGAGTCTTTAGACATTTCTTAAATGCCTATGGTATCTGCCATCACTGATAATTTTGCAGGAGTGTACAGGCCTTGAACCTATGGAATTCTCCATGACTTAGTAGAAAATTTCATCAGCAACACTTTTACCCTACTTAACCTTTTAAAGTTCTCTTATAAACTACTTCTTAGCCTTTTCTAGTATTAACAGTAGAGTAGTTGCAAACTTTGATGTTAAACCTCTAGCAACATACTCTGAAAGTGTTTCGAGTTTATTGATCATGTTTTTTTCCCTCTTGCTGCTATTGGGTATAACACATCTCATGTGTTGTTTTGTTGTTGTTGAGAAAGAGTCTTGCTCTGTCACCTAGGCTGGAGTGCAGTGGTGCAATCTCACCTTACTGCCATCTCCACCTCCTGGGTTGAAGCGATTCACCTAAGCCTCTCAAGTAACTGGGATTACAGGCACATGCCACCATGCCTATTTTTGTATTTTTAGTAGAGACGGGGTTTCGCCATGTTAGCCAGGTTGGTCTCGAACTCCTGACCTCAAGTGATCTGCCCACATCGGTTTCCCAAAGTGCTGGGATTACAAGCATGAGCCACTGCCCAGCCGCATGATTTTTTTTTTTTTTTGTCTTTCAGAATTATGGGCAGAATAAATGACCATACGAGCCCAAGCCCACTTATGCCATCTTTTGGTAGAGAGAATAGCTTTGTGTGATCTATTAAAGTTTGTAAATTGAAAGTTGTTAAATGCATGAACTTCTGGGATTGAAATAGGTTCAGTGAGCTATTTGTAATAATGTTATGAGGATGAGTAGAGTTGGATTGATTTTTCAAAATATACTGGCAAATTCATCTGTTCTGAGACACTTAATATACTAGTAAATTCATCTGTTCTGAGACATTGGTCTCTAATCTAAACAGGCATTTAATCTTCCTTTCGCTTTTTTGATCTTAAAATTTGAGGGCTCCTTAACCCATTAACATCTTCAGGAGACCAACCTAGGCAACACAGTTAGCCAGGCATGGCGCCATGTGCCTATAGTCTCAGCTACTCGGGAGGCTGAGGTGAGAGGATCACTTGAGCCCAGAAGGTCAACGATGCAGTGAACTGTGATCATGCCATTGCACTCCAGCCTCGGTGACAGAGCAAGACCATGAATGAATGAATGAATGATAAGTAAATAAAGATAAATATATCTATATCTATATTCTGATGTTTTGGGGGAACATTTAGAAAGAGAAGGCAGGGGTCCAGGAAGTTAATCAGCTTTGGTAAAAGAGTTTCTTATAGTAATGGATTGAAATATCAGATAGGGAGGAATCCTTTTATACATATTAGTCTGTATATAGAAGATTTGCCATCAGTTTAACATTCATTTTAAACATTTTTTTCTTGATGGTGATGATATATTTGCTCAACGTACAATAAAAGACTGACAAGGAAGACTCCCTGTCAGCACTTCAGTATGGCTTAGGTAGACCTTAAAAGTTTCTAAGAGTTTTGGTGTCAAATTAGATTTAAATAAGCTAAGCTTTTTACGCTACTCCATTGCAACCTACTTTCTTACACATTGTCACATAAGCCTGAGTTGGCATGTTGTTTTTAACTTCATACTGTAACAATTTGATATTATTTTTCCAATATGGGTTTTATAAAGATTAGAAAATTATGTCAACTTGTAAATGCAAGGATTTAATAATTATATTTGTTAAAATAATTTTATGACCCTATTAATTCACCCAGAAATGCTTTACAGAAGCATATTAAAGATAACATTATCAAAAAGTTTTATAATTTTTTTTTTTTTTTTTTTTTGAGATAGGGTCTTAGTCTGTCACCCATGCTGGAGTGCAGTGGTGCCATCATGGCTCACTGCAACCTCAATCTCCCAGGCTCAAGTGATCCTTCCACCTCAGCCTCCTAAGTAGCTAGGACCACAGACACCCTCAACCACACCTTGCTAATTTTTTTGTATTTTTTGTAGAGACGAGTTTTTTTTTTTTCCGCCGTGTTGGCGAGGCTGATCTCTAACTCCTGGGTTTAAGCAATCCACTGGCTTTGGCTTTGGAGTGCTGAGATTACAGGCGTCAGGCACTGTGCACAGCCTTATAATTTTATTTTTAATCTATACCATAATTTTCACTCCTATCCTGTGTTCCTCATACATACATATCTACCAAAGACAGGTCGAGGGAATAGAAAAATGACTGTTTTAAAATCCTTGACCTTTCCTGCATTTTTTATGTATGAACTGTCAAATGTATATGTCATTTTTTTTTTCTTCTTTGACATCCATATTTATTTAGTAGACCGTAGAACTCCCTAGAAGTTAATCTTGATAGTTAATTTTTATTACTTGGGATTTTATTCCTCACTTAAAATTGTTTAATTAAAAAATATGCTTAGTTATAATTCTAAAAGTCAAATGTATGATTTTTCTTGTTTCAGAAAGTCTTTATCTCTTGCAAGGATCAGTAGTGGCAGATCATGACTACATTGGATTACCTGAAATTCCGGTTGGAGCATATCAAGCAAATATTCTGGTGGAAGATGCAACTATTGGTATAGTTGATAATGAATTACTGACATCAAGCAAGGATCGTGAACTATTAGAATATAGAAATACGAAAATCTCTCCATTGATAGACGATCATAGTACTCTTGAAAAGCAGACTTTCAGTCTGTTGGACTCTTCAAACCAGGTTCTTGAATACTTAAGTTAGTAAATATCAAAATTTATTTAAAGTGCTTGTTTAGAATGTATAAATTCTTAATGATATTCATTAAAAAAGGTTGTATAGAAGAAGTATCTTGACACATTCTTAATGACTAATTTCTGAAGGTTTATTTTATAGTTATTATCTAAAATTGTGCCACATTTGAATATCAGTATACATATGTATGAAGGCAAAGGAACATGTAATATATAGAATTCACTTCTTCTTCTAAAAAGAGAACAGGCAAAGCACCCCTACTTCTTAGGAAATAAATTCCAGCCCAAATCTCTCAAACCTTTGTATGGTTTTGGTACCGTTTCTCAGTTTTAAATTTTCTGAAATTCTCTACCTTTTAAACAGTAAGTTTGAACTACCTTGAGTGGAATTTATAAATATTGAATCAACTGTAACAATGAATGAAATGAAGCTGCTTTCTGTTTCATTAGAACTTCTAAAAACAAGATTGTATGAAAAAATACAGGATTATTTAATGAGCTTTCACAGGATGTTGGTAATTTCAAGTTATCTAATTGGTTAGATAGGGTCAGGATTAGGGTCTGAAACTATGTATTGGTTGGGAAGCATTTGTTTATTTTCATACTATATATTAAAGATAAAACCATCAGCCAGGCATGGTGACCCACACCTGTAATCCCAGCACTTTGGGAAGCCAAGGCAGGATGATCACTTGACCCCAGGAGTTTGAGACCAGCCTGGGCAACACAGGGATTCCCCATCTCTTCAAAAAATGTTTAAAAATTAGCTGGGTGTGGTGGCACATGCCTGCGGTCCCAGCTACTCAAGAGGCTGAAGTAGGAGCATTGCTTGACCCCAGGAGGTCGAGGCTGCAGTGAGCCGTGCTCATGCCACTGCTCTCCAGCCTGGGTGACAAGGCAAGACCTGTCTCAACAACAACAAAAAAAGTGTCCATTAAGAATTTTTTTCTGCAATCAAAAAACATGAAATAACCAGTGTCAAGATTTTAAACTGTAATTTCTATGATATTCATAAATATAGAATAAATATTGTTCAATAAATACTTATTCTAAAGCACTGTGAAAAGAACTGTGGGAAGTAAAAGATGAGTCAAATGTGTACCTCATTCTTATAAAGGACTTACTGTCTGGTAAGTAATAAACTGTGTAAGCCATGTACAACACAAGTTAAGGCATGCTAAATTGCAGAAGGCAGGTGTAGATAATGTACTTAGGGAGGCAAAAAAGAGAGAAGTTGTTTTTACATAGGAAATTTGTGTTTATCCTTATGGAAGAAGGATCATTTAAGCTTGACTTTGAAGAATGTTTAGGATTTGGTAAATGGATACAAAAGAATTAGGGGAGAAGTAATACATAGAAATGGAAAAGTATTTTAATGGTTCATAAAAGGGCAGGGCTTCTTGTTGTCTACACTTCCTCGGATATAAAGTAAAGAAGCAAGATGAGGGATAAAGCTGAAAAGGTAAGTGGGAAGCCTTATGGAGACCTTTTAATACTATTAAGGATTGATATGTGTCCCTCCCAAAACTTGTGTTGAAGTCTTAACCTCCAAGACTTCAAAATGTGATCTTATTTGGAAATGAGGTTGTTGCAGGTGTAGTTAGTTAAGATGAGATCATATTTCAATAGGGTGGGTTCTAATACAGTATTACTGGTGTTCTGATAAAAGGCGGAAATTTGAACACAGACTCAAGGAGAATGACATGTGAACATAAAGGCAGAGTTTAATATGATGCTTCTGTAAGCCAAGAAATGGCAAAGATTGCCAGAAAACCACCAGAAATTAGGGGAGAGGCATTGAATACATTTTTCCTCATTCCTCAGAAGACCAACCCTGTCAATACCTTATCTCAGGCTTTTGCCTCCAGAACTGTGAGACAATAAAATTCTGTTATTTCAGGCATCCAGTTTGTGGGACTTTGTTACAGTAGCTCTAGCAATAATACAAATGCCTGGCTAAATTATTTCTTTTCTGAGAGCAAAAACTTTGTATAGGAAAGTGTCATAATCAGAACTGTGTTTTTGGAAGTTTAATCAGACAACTAGTAAAGAATAGGTTAGAAGAGGAGAAAACAAGGCATGGAGATTAGTTGAGAGGACTTTGCAGTGATGATGAATAATAAAAACCTAAACTAGGCCGGTAGCATTGGTAATGAATACAGTCTGTCTTAAGATCGTTACAGAATATCTCACATATTTTATTTCACAACCATACTAAACAGTGATGTGATATCAAAAATGGAGACCTGGGATATTCTGATTACTCATTTAAGAAGAAAGATTTTGTTTAATATAGGCGAAAGGAAAAGTGTTTAGTGTAGGGTGTGAATCTAGGACCTCATCTTATACCACAGACCAAATAAACTTCAAACAGAATTCCAGGAAAAAAATTTTTTTTTTTTTTAAAGTATAATTGTTTCAAACAGTGCTACCTATCCTGCTTTCCTCAGCAGAACAAAGTTTAGAAGAGAGTCATATTAGAACATCTTTTTGATAAATATAAGTGGCTGTCTTTTTCTTAGCTCAAATGAAATAACTTCTTTTTAATGATTATCTGACTCAAAATCAGCCTCTTTTCCCGCCATTTCAAGAAGGTGATTCGTATTGAGTCATTTTAAAATAACCAACTCTAAACATTTTTTTTTTTTTTAATTTTTGCTTCTCCTAAGTAGTGTCTCATTAAACAGACTTTTATCCTGTGTTTACTAGTCATGTTAGGCTACATTATTCTGTGTCTGCAAACCACTGCCAAAATCTTAGTGACTTAACAAAGCTTCATTTCTTGGACTCCCCCACGTATTTCTCTTTGTTCATCAAGGGCTTGTCTGCATTTTCATCACCACTTCTGGATGTGGGGCCATGGTTCCCCATCTCTGGAATAACAGGTCACCATGACAAGGGAAGGAAAACATGATGAACTGAGCATTAGATCTTAACAGTTGCTGCAAAGTTATGCACATCTTTCCTACAAAGGAGAAACATAGCTACACAGTACTAATTGGTATGGGGTTTCTTTTTGTGGTGACAACAGTGTTCTAAACTTAGTAGTGATGATTTCATAACTTTGAATATACTAAAATCTACTGAAATGTACACTTCAAAATGTACTTCAGGTAGGCATCCACAGTTCCAGGCTCCAGGCCAGTCCCTGTGGCTCAGGGTCCAGGTCTTCCCCAGTAGACTCCAGAGGCAGGCTGGCCCCTGAGGACCCAGGTATCAGGCCAGCCCCCCATAAGGACCCCACTAGATTGCCCACCATGAACCTCTGGACTGGCAGACTGGTGAAGGACTTTCTCTGCCAGAGCCAGTCTATGAAGACTGGAAGAGGTGCCTACTTTTTTTAATGTGCAGATGCCAACACAGACTGCAAGAATCATGAATAATCAGGGAAACAGGATGCTACCAAAAGAACAACAACAAAAAGCACCAGTAAATGACCATAAAGAAATGGCCATCTAAAAACTGCCTGAGAAAGAATTCAAAACAATTATCTAAAACAAGCCCAATGAGCTACAAGAGGGCACAGACAACCAACCAAAATCAGGAAATTTACATGAAGAAATTGAGAAGTTAGAGAGAAAGCATATTTAAAATTAAACTTTAGAGCTCAAAAAGACAGTAACTGCACTGACAAATTCCATAAAGAACTTCAAGAGCATACTTGATCAAGCAAAATAAAGAATCAACAAGCTCAAAGAGCCTTTGAAATTGCCTTGTTAGAGGAAACAAAAGTGAAGAAAGCTTATGGGCCTTTGAGACGCCATCAAGTAAACAAAAATGTGCATTATGGGAATTCTAGAAGAAGCAGAGACAGAGAAAAAGGAAGAAAGCTTATTAAAGACATAAAGACAGAAAACTTCCCAAATCTGGAGACTGAAATGAACATCCATATCTAGGAATCCCAAGGAACCCCACATAGATGAAGTATAAAGAAATCTCCCCTGAAACATTGAACTTGAAAAGTTTCAAGTTCTCAAACTTTTAAAGCAGCAACAGAAAAGTAACTTATCACATGCAAAAGAACCTTCATAAAACTATCAGCAGATACCTTGCAAACCAGGAGAGTGGAATGATATATTTAGCCAAAGAAACTCAACCAAAAGTCCTATACCAAACAAGGCTGTTCTTCATAAATGTAGAAGAGACAAAAACTTGCCCAGAAAAAAAGCGGTGTGGGAATTTGACACACTAGACCTGTCTCACAGAAAATTCTAATGGGAATTCTTCAAGTTGAAATAAAAGATGCTAGTTAACAACATGAAAACATATTAAAGTATTAAACTTAATGTAAAGGTAAGAACATAGTCAAATTCAGAATACTGTAATGGTGGTATGTAAATTGCTTTTAACTCTAGTATGAAAGTTAAAAGACAAAAATATTTCTTAAACTAGCTACAGTAATGTGTTAATGGATACATGTTATCTAACGACATTAAGATATTAATAACAAAACATGGGGAGAGAAGAAATTTAAAAAGTGTAAAGTTTTTGTATATAATCAGAATTAAGTTGTTTTCAGCTTAACATAGACTTATGTAACTATATTTTAGATGAGCATCATGGTAACCACAAAGAAAAAAAAACCTGTAGTAGATACACAAAAGATAAAGAGAAAGGAGTCACAGTATACTGCCACAAGACATTGTTATATCACAAAGGAAGACAGACAGAGGAAGAGAGGGAAAAGGACCTACAAAACAGTGAAAACAATGAACAAAATAGCTGTAGTACATCCATAACTATCAGTAATTACTTTAAATGCATTAAATTCTTCCATGAAAAGAGTGACTGAATGGATTAAGAACAACAAGCTCTAACTATGTGGTGACTAGAGGGGACTTCAGATTAAGGATGCACATAGACTAAAAGTGACAGGATGGGAAAAGATATTCCATGCAAATGGTACTCAAAAGAGAGCACAGTGGCTACACTTACATCACACAAAATAGATTTTAAGTCCAAAGCTTTCACAAAAGACAAGGTTATTATATAATGGTAAAGGGGTCAATTCATCAGGAAGATAGTAGAATTGTAAATATATATATACACCCAACATTGGAACACCTAAATATATAAAGCAAATAGTAACAGAATTA